TTATCCATGTTTTTGAGTGTTAGAGGTGGAATGTGTTACTAGGTAAAATTATCCATGTTTTTGAGTGTTAGAGGTGGAATGTGTTACTAGGTAAAATTATCCATGTTTTTGAGTGTTAGAGGTGGAATGTGTTACTAGGTAAAATTATCCATGTTTTTGAGTGTTAGAGGTGGAATGCGTTACTAGGTAAAATTATCCATGTTTTTGAGTGTTAGAGGTGGAATGTGATGAACAGTGTACATATCTCAATATAAAATCAATAGTAAAACCGAAACAGCTAAAATGGGATGTGGTTAAAAACACTTAACACAAATTACACAACTTTCAGGATTAAATATTATGTCCCTCTTAATTTTAAAATGGTACGTAGAATGTGTTATTAGGTAAAACTACCTAGTTTTGGTTGTTCATACTAATTACCATTAGCTTCCTATTTAGATCAAAAACAAAGTTTTGGATCTGATTACCACTTCTATGTACATACTCACAGATATGACGTAATAGAAAAAAGCAGGCAACATGCCTCACTTTGGGGAAATAGTTGTGTTAAACAGTAGCGGTCAAATCCACTATTCGATTATAAAGGAGGTTCTGTTGAATAGCTACAATCTATCGATTCCGTCAGGTAGCTCTTATGTAGCTTTGCGTGAAATTCTAAAACTAACTAACTAACGAAAGCTGTATACGTAATGTAATTCTATGCCTTATTCTCATTGCAAAAACCAAGAACTTGTATACCTATCAAAATGGAATAATTGATTATAATTTATCCCATCAAACAAGATTTTGCTATTTTGGGATTTTTTTGATAATCTTACGAACAAAATTTAGTCGTGACGTCACAGTCCACTTACTCACTTAACCAAATAAATATATTTAGATAAAGAAAATAAATATACAATTTGTTAATAATAACAATGAGTTCATTTCATGCTTTTCTTTTCTTGAGCTTTTAGAAATAAAAAAATTGCAAAAAAAAATTAGAAATCGAAAGTTCTACATATTGGTAAAAAATTGAACAATTTGGTTTATTGCAAAAATGACTACGTGCATTTACCAATTGTAACCAAACGTTTCATTTAACCTCTATGTCATTCTTCATCATGTAAGTAGGCCATTTAGAGAAATGTTGGTGAACCGATCAGTTATGCGCCCCTCATTTTTTTTTTTTTTTTTATTCAGCCTAAACACCTGCGAAGATGGCCTAGTTGATATCCAACTTTGGGTGATTGTAAGTCGGGTTTTGTATGTTTTATACCTGTTCGAACTCGTGGAAATAATATAGGTTGAAAAGCTGATATCTTATAATGGCGAATAGGTTATAAAGCTGGTATTTGTTATATTGATGTTTTAACTTATAATACAATAGATTTAATGACAATACAAGTTATAAGATGACAAAGCAAACAACAAGCCATAATACCTTAAATATTTTACACTCTTCTCACCTCACCCATTCTCCCCCGTTCAGTTTCGAATGTGGTTGTCATTCCTTTTTTTATTACTATTATGTTTAGGACACGGTGCTAGCCTCTTGAGAACCTATATCTGTTTGATTAGAACAAACGGTGCTAGCCTCTTGATAACCTGTATCTGGTTGATTAGAACAAACGGTGCTAGCCTCTTAAGAACCTATATCTGTTTGATTAGAACAATGTCTTCAACGCTTCAAGGTG